TTGTGTCGAGCATCATGTCCTTGTTAACGTCGGGTTTCTGAGTGAGCATAGTTTGGCGGATACTAGGAACATTTAGTTCGGCAGGACACATAGCTTCCGTGCCATAAGCGAGAAAGAAAGATGATTGACTGGTAGAACGTCGTAGCGTAGTTCGGTGAGACCATAAAACGCCATCGAGTTCGTCCGCCCATGTTCCTTTTGCCGTATCTAACCACTTCTTCAGGCAATCGATAATGGTTTTGTTTGTTGCTTCAGCCTGCCCATTTCTTTGCGGGTATCTCGGGTGGAGAAACTCAGGCGGATTTTTCACTTGGCGCAAATGTCGGTAAAGATGATGGAAGTGAACTAAGTGCCATTGTCTGTGACGATCTCATAGGGAATACCGTGTCGGCAGATGATGAATTTCCAGACAAAATTTTTGACGTCGATACCGTGGATTTCGGGGTATGCTTCAGCTTCGACCTATTTGGTGAAATAATTGGTAACGACGAGCACGTATTGTTTCTGGCTTGTATATCGGCGAAATGGGCCGATAATATCCATTGCCCAGCGCATGAAGGAATACGGTGCGGTAGAGGTCATTAGGAGTTTGGTAGGAATGTTGATCATCGGGCTGTGGCGTTGGCACTTCTCGCAGCATGCGGCATACTTCTCGCAATCTGAGAGCATAGTTTGCCAGAAATAGCCGGCTTTTTTATCTTGAACCCCAAGGAACGAGCTCCGGAATGATTTCCTCATTCTCTTTCGTGTACTTTATGCATGACTTCCATGATGTCGTTTCCGCAAACTCAAGTTAAAAGTGTGCCAGATGCATCCCATCGGAGGAGAGTGCCTTTGATGACAACGTATCGAGCTGCTCGAGCCTTAAGTCTCCGAGCTGCCCATTTGTCCGTAGGAACCGTTCCATCGCCGATGTATCCGACGATTTCCAAAGTCCAGTCTTCGGGCTCTTCTTCGCCTTTAGCTTCGATGTCGATTGGGACGTGCTGTCCTTCGGATTCATCGTCTGGATTGCTTTCAGTGTCACTTTGCTCGTTCATATCAGCATTAAGATTGGTGACAGCTTCTGTAGTCTTCTTCTTTCTGGTGAGGGGTGGTGTGAGGTTTGGATGAGCATCGTAGTCGCGACGTCGCGTGATGATGGTGCACACGGGGGCAGGTTCAATACTAGGTCGCTCGATTGCCTCAACTGGGATCTGGGATCGTTCGCCGAAGGGCGGGATCAGAATTAGATGCCCGAGCAGCCAAGGCATTGGCAGAGGTGTTCTCGTCACGTGGTATATTTGTGAGCTCGAAGGTTGAGAATTCTGAAGCAAGGTCTTTGAGAATTTTCAGATATGCATCCATTCAATCATTCTTGGCGTCGTATTCTCCGTGAAACTGATTTGCTACGAGCTAAGAATCGCAACAGGCATGGACATGTTCAGCGCTGATTCTTTTAGCGTAACGTAGCCCGGCAATAAGTGCTTCGTACTCGGCTTCGTTGTTTGATGCAGGAAAACCGAGACGAAACGACTGTTCGAAGATTTAGCCATCGGGGGACTTGAGACGAATGCCGACGAATGCCGACGCCAGATCCTTTATTGGAAGAGGAGCCATCGCCGTGGAGGATCCACGGTTGTATGGCTGGGTTGGCGTTGACGAATTCTGGTGGTAGTTTGATCAAGAAGTCTGCTAGGACTTGGGATTTCGTCGCAGTTCGTCCTCTGTACTCAATGTCGTATTCGCTGAGTTTGATGGCCTACTTGGCGAGTCGGCCCGACTGACTTGGGCTATGGAGGAAAGTGCGAAGTTGATGGTCGGTCAAGACGATGATGGCATGTGATTGGAAGTAAGGGCGCAGCTTTCGTGCCGAGATGACCACGGCGAAAGCGAACTTCTCCAAAGTTGACCCTGCTTTTAATAGTATTTCGACCTCATCGTTGACGACTTGTGCTTTTCTGGTCCAAGTTTCCGGCGCTCCTGCTTGATTGGTTTGTAAGTCGGGTCGATGTTGAGTTTGTGATAGGCGATCTGTGGGTCAATTCTGGGCATGTCTTCGACTGACCATGCGAAGGTGGAAGAATGCTATTTCAAAAAGTGAACAAGGTTGTCACGGATCTTTGGGTCGATCTCAGCACTGATACCATTGGCGTTCCGGTCGCAGTTCTTCGATGCAGACTTGAGTAATGACCTCCTGCTTAGGCTTTGTTTTTTGGAAATGAGGTCGGTGGTCGTGTCCTGCAAGCTGAAGACGCAAGCTTGATTGGCTGACTGAAGCTTGCACTCGTTGATGTAGCATGATCGGGCGACAGCTTGTTTGCTTCTGAGTGTGTATATGTCATCGGGAGTCGGGAACTTGAGGCACTGGTGATAGGTGGAGGCAACGGATTTCATCGTGTGTAGCCAAGGTGTACAGATAGCATTGTAGATCGCCGGCTTGTCAAGGATGAGAAATTGAATGATCTTTGCGATTCTGGCTAGATAAATCGGAATTTTTACCGTGCCGGCCGTCATGCAGCGCTCGCCGTCAAACCCTGTGAGAGGCTCGATGAAATGTTCGATTTTGTCAGTTGGAATGTCGAGCTGGTCAAGTGCGTCTTTGAAAATTATGTTGACCGAGCTGCCAGTATCAATGAGGATGCGGCTAACTTCGACGTCATCTAGAAGAAAGTTCGACGACGAGAGCGTCGTTGTGCGGCTTGGGCAGTCCAATTGTGTTGGCTTTGGTGAATATCAATGGAGTTCCCTTTGGAGGATCGTGCAAGAGTTTAGGCGCGGTTGCGGCCTGTCGGCTGTACTTTTTTATTGCCCGAATTGAGTAGCTGCAAGCTTCGATAGCTCCCATGATCATGTTGACGCGTTTCCTAGTTTTGGGGTATGGTTCTCTGGTGCCGACTCATCGCGGTTGCGTTTCGGTTGCTCGGGTTGGGTGGGTGGATTCGGCGAAGAAGGTGGTAATGCCGGAAGGTCCTTTGCAACGGTGTTCTTGGGTTATGTATTGTTAGATCGGTGTGACCTGCTTCTTTGGGCGGTTAAGCAACGGATGTCGTCAAACGAGATTTGTCCTTTTCGGTACTGCGCGAGCAAGTATTCCCGCAAGTGTCTGCAGTCTTTGGTGCTGTGTCCTTTGCGATTGTGGAATTCGCAGAACAGATATTCATCTTGGTCTTCACTACTATGGATCCACTTGTTGTTTCATTGCTTGTTCGGCTGTTGGATGGCGTTGGCGTATAACTTTTTACGATTCTCACACCTTCTGCCGTATCCTGATTGGGGCTCGTAAGTGTCGGTCTTAGGTCGTTCGATCTGTTTTGTAGTGTAGATCTGCTCGTGAGCTGCTTCCTCCTCCTCTTCCGCTATATAAGTATTAGCTCGGTGTAGTGCGTGCTCCAAGGTCTGCAGTGGGTTGTGTTTGATTGCGCTTCGGAAACTTGTCTTTATTCGAGCTCCCTTTTATAGACATAAGGAGTACGGTTTTCACCTCCAACAAATTTCTTTGTAGAAATCTTTGCTCTATCTGGAAGAGGAGGAGAAAGCGGCGTGGGTTGAGATTCTTGAGGAGGTAGCAAGGGCTTGTCACCAAAGGCACCAAAAAGCAGGCCGCGAACTTCTCCACCTATGTATCCATTGCAGCAACTCTGGTAATCACCGACACTTTTCTCGAAGACAGGTTTCAGATTCCTTTGAGGATATCCCTAAATCGATGTGATTAAAAAACGAGTGGTTCGATTAACGGACGAAACAGAGCGTGTTGTCGCATGTCTAATACCATGAGTCTGTCTGGTCTGGACAGTTTTGTAATAAACCCATCAGACGAGGGTTGGATGCAATCGGATCAGATATTTGGATCAGTCCCTGGTATAAAAGAGGCCTAAAACGTAGAACCTTCCAGCCTTCCAGGACCTTCACCGACCCAAACGTTGTAGAAGCCGTTTCGAGAACTGACGTTGGAAGCAAGATTTGAGAGAATGAGACGACGGTAAGTATTATTTCGTCTGATTATCATTGAGTTTCCACAACTCTGTGAAGAGACAAAGCCAAAGCTAACGGCGAGGAGAAAACAGAGGATTGGCAAGAGATTGTTAAGAGACATTTTAAGATATTGACTTTGCTGAGATATTTGTTTTAGATCTTTAAATTTTATTCTAGATCCTTTTGGGAACATTGTGCGAGTTTCAAACCAGGTGGTCAAGCCTGATTCTGTTTTTCACCATCACTTCATTCATCTTCTCTAGTCTCCAATACTCCTTTGGTTTTTCTTTTTGCCTCCTGCTGTTTCTCTCTTGCCAAATGTGATAGATCGCTGCTTGGAGAGCATAGCGTAACAAGAAAGCCGTGATACTGTTGTATGGTGGTTTGATTACCAGAGTCATAATCTCCTCCCATACAACAGTAAAACTCTGTTTCAATATTCCTCCCACAAGTTTCTTCCAAATTTTGCTCGAAAAAGGACATGAAAAGAAGAGATGGTCTCGGGTCTCTCTCGGCTCGCTGCAGAAGGAACAACCAGTGTGTATTGATGTTCCAACGTTCCATTTCGTCTCCTGTGCAAAGTCTGTTTCGAGCTGCAAGCCATGTGACCAAGGTTAAGCTTTGGAGTAGCACTAGAATACCAATTCCCTGGGTGAAGGTCCCATGTAGGATTTTGGATTCTGATTTGCTCCAGAGTTTCCTTTGAGCTGAAGTTTGCTTTGTATTCCCCATTTTTACCTCTCCATAAATAGATATTTATCTCCTCTTGGACTCTGTTTTGCCTCTTTTTTGCTGTTTCCTCTTCGATCTGAGTGAGGAGCTGATTTCAGTGTCTTCGCCTTCTTTCTCTGTTTATAACTTCTGCTAGAGATGCATTTTTCTTTACTCCAATGTCGATAAAACCCCTAGCTCCGAACACATCATATAGACACTCCAGATTGATATATAACACAAGCATTCTGCTAGCCAAGCATTATTTTTACACAAGTCAACTTGATATATTAGAAATTTTTTAACAAATTAGAAAATAAAGTTTCGTAGCTTAGAATCATATTGATAGACTTCTTATATCATTACACATCCCTTTCAAAATTAATTTAATGCTCAATTTCTTTATATAGACTTTGACAAACTGGAGTTACTTGTGCTACAAGGAAGGCTTTACGGACTGGTGCTAATCTACATACATAATGCGAAAGCAAGAGTTTCAACGAGGAGTGACTCTAGTAATTGATGCACTGTCTATAGAACAAGGAATAGACTTGCTGCTGGATTGCCCCTGCTCGGATCCATAGGTTAAAAGGTCTAAATTGGGTCTGTTCCTGAAGAAAAATCCAGGTGGTTGAGGCACAGGTAGAATAATGGAGCTGTTGGTTAGCATCTGAAAGATTATAGACATTTCTGGTCGATCTGCAGGATTTTCTTGAACGCATAATAGTCCAATATGGATGCATCTAATGACTTCATCCTTCTCGTAGCTTTCCCCAATCGCGGGGTCGATTAGTTCTAAGGGTGAATCATTGTTCCAAAGCCTCCAAACCTGCCAACAAAAAGAACTCATATGAAGCATTCAAAACGTTGATCACAATTAAATATGGAGTACAATTTCTATTCGAATTTTTGCTCACATGTGTAACCAAATTGCCACCAGAATCATTCATCTGATAGAAGCTGCTATTCTTCTTGCCACAAACAATTTCTAGAATCAATACTCCGAAGCTATAGACATCTGATTTTGTGGAGAACTGGCCATGCGTCACATACTCTGGAGGCATGTAACCGCTGCAAATATACAATAACAATCTTAATGTTAATCAAAACAAAAACGGTTCATCAAAGATTTGTGAGATTCATCAAACTGTAAGGAGAATACTAGGGTACTAACAATGTTCCAACAACTCTTCCTGTCTTGTCTTCAGTTTGGTTCACTCTGAAATTCCTAGCCATTCCGAAATCCGCTATTTTAGGGTTCATATCACCAACAGAATGTTACTTGCTTTGATGTCACGATGTATGATGGTGAGTCTTGAGTCTTGATGAAGATAAAGAATTCCTCTCGTTATCCCTCCTATGATGTTGTACCGTCTTTTCCAATCTAGCTGACTCTTCTTTGTTGGATCTGCGTTAAACGAAGTTTTAAGAAAGAAAAAAATTGCAATGAAGAACATAAATTAAACCTAGCGTTCTTGTTTATTACCAAAGAGGAAATAGTCAAGGCTCTTGTTGGGAACAAACTCGTAGACAAGTATTTGTTCATCTCCTTCCACGCAAAACCCTAGAAGTCTAACAAGATTCTTGTGTTGAAGCTTGGCAACAATCACAACCTCGTTCTTGAACTCTTGTGTTCCTTGTCCTGAATTTCTCGATAGCCGCTTCACCGCAATTTCTGTTTTATTTGCTAACATTCCCTACAAATATACATATGCATTCATAGCTCCTTAGTTTCTTAGCATTCATGACAAATCAAGCAGTCATAGATATGTATATATATAGAGCTCATATGTACCTTGTAAACTGCACCAAATCCGCCTTGACCTAGTTTTTTATTCTCTGAAAACTTATCTGTTGCCGCCTCAATTGTCGTAAAATCATATTGCAGAGACTGTGGACTTGTCATGTCATCATCAGCTGCAATAACATATTTACGGTTACTATTATGCAGCAAGTATATTATTTCCTATGTTCCAATTACCAATGTGAAAGTGTTAATTAAAATCTTGAAAAAGTAACTCACTTTGAGGTTTTAATGTTTTGTATGATTGTCTTCTCTTCCATATAACTAATCCTGAGGCACACAATACCACGAATATAACCAAGGAAACAACAATCGCAACCATAGCTCCAGTAGAAAGCTTTTTTACATCTAAGGGATGTGGAGGAAGAGTAGGAGGAGGAGGACGACGAGGAGGAGGAGGACGACGAGGAGGAGGAGGAGGAAGGGTTGGTGTGGGTCGAGATGGCGTGTCGTCAAAGGCACCAAAATATTCATAACCATCCCATCGGAAATAACAAACCGAATTGTAAACGACTCCACCTATTCTACCATTGCAGCATCTCTGATACACACCCACATTTGCTCGAATACAGGTTTCACACTCCCCAGAGGATAACCCCGGAATACACTGCATCAGCACGTATATACGATCAAAACCTATCGGAGGGGATATCTCGGCCAGGTATCGAGGTTGACCGACTCGGGTGAGCATAAATTCCATGAAAGCTTCCCATGTTCTGGTATAAGCTGTAAGGTTCCCCTGGTATATTCCAGTACTGGTCACTGCATGTGGCTGCTCTAGTTCTATCTCGTCGAAAAACGAGTGGTTGGAATAACGAACAAAACAGAACGTCTCTATCCAGTGGTATGCGTCGGTCTGGTTTAGACAGGTTTTTGATAAACCGTCAGACGCTTGTTGGATACAATCGGAACAGACCTTTGGTTCAGTCTGTGGAATACAGAGGGCTAAGGCATAGATTCTTCCTGGGCCTTTACCGACCGAGACGTTGTAGTAGTAGCCGTCTTGAGAGCTGACGTTGGAAGCTAGAGTTGAGAGAATGAGACGACGGTTTGTATCGTAAGTTCCGTTTGGTCTGAAAGACATATTCTCTCCGCATTCTTGTGCAGATACGTAACCGAAGCTAACGGCTAGGACAAAACAGAGGATTGACAAGAGATTGTTAGAGCACATTCTTTTTTTTGGTTAGATTATATATTCAGATACTTGTTGCAGATCTTGGAATTTGAATCTAAATAAGAAAATTTTGTTTAGGATCGTTGATTTCGTCAAAACAGCTTTTGCGTGTTTAGATTTTTCTTTAAGTCAACTCGGTAAACGTTTGGATAAATTCAATATTTTTGACACCAAAAGGATTAAGTTAGATTTTTTTGGGTTGCCATATATATTCACACACGTTGCTTGGACAGTTCTTTTAGAACTTTAGTGTCTGGAATGTAATAGCCTAGTTTGGTTTTGTTCAACGTAAATATTTTAAGACTATTCGTTTGTCAAAAAAAATGGAATGTTCTTAGGGGCCCCATGATCTTAAGCATTGTTGTTACACAAGTCTAACTTGATGTATTAGTAATTTCTCAACAATTTACGAAAGTGAAGTTTCGTAACTAAAAGTCAAATTGGTAGTCTTCTATTATTACACATCACATACAAAAATAATTGAATCCTCGATTTGTTTTTCAAGGACTTAAACAAACTTGAATTGCGCGTGAACCAAGGAACTGGTACGAACTGGTGCTAAACTCGGTGTGGTTATACTACAGAATGCACAAAAGTTTCAACGAGGTGTGACCATAGTGATCGTTGCGTTGTCCACAGAACAAGGAACAGAGTTGCTGCTGGATTGGCCTGGCTCGGATCCATAGTTTAAAGGGTCTAAACTCGGTCTGTTCCTGAAAAAAAAAAACAGGTGGTCGAGGAACGGGTAGAGTAATAGAGCTATTGGTTAGCATCTGAAAGACTGTAGACATCGCTGGACGGTCTGCGGGAGTTTCTTGAACGCATAATAGTCCGACATCTAATGGCTTCATCCTTCTCATAGCTTTCCCCAATTGTGGGATAATTCTAAGGGTGAATCATTGTTCCAAAGCCTCCAAACCTGCCAAGAAGGTCCATAGTCAGAATCTTTAACACAGTTGAGGAAAAAATAACAGTCAAATTATGAGAAACTGATTTGATTTGTGCTCACATATGTGACCAAGTTGCAAACTGAACTATTCCTTTGATAGAAGCTGCTATTCCTTTTGCCAATAACAATCTCCAGAATCAATACTCCGTAGCTACAGACATCAGACTTGGTAGAGAATTGGCCATGCGTCACATATTCTGGAGACATGTAACCGCTGCAAATACATGCAAGACATATATACTTTATACTTAATCGGCAACGAGAAAAAAAAGTAGTTCATCAAGATTCAATTTAAAGACTTAAGGACTATAACTAACAAGGTTCCAACTACTCTCCCTGTATTGGCTTCAGTTTGATGATCTCTGAAGTTTCTAGCCATTCCAAAATCCGCTATTTTGGGATTCATATCGGCATCTAATAGAATGTTACTCGCTTTAATGTCACGGTGTATAATAGTTAGCCTTGAGTCTTGATGAAGATAGAGGAGCCCTCGTGTGATTCCTCCGATGATGTTGTACCGTCTTGTCCAATCTAGCTGACCCTTCTTTGCTGGGTCTACACATCCATTTGTAAATCATTAGACTAATTAAGAGATCAACAAATAAAGTTTCAAGAACAATGTATAAAGATGAAAAGTAGCCTTGCTGTATTGTTTATTACCAAAGAGCAAATAATCAAGGCTCTTGTTGGGAACAAACTCATAGACTAGTATATTTTCTTCTCCTTTCAGAGAAAACCCGAGAAGCCTAACGAGAGTCCGATGCTGAAGCTTTGCTACAAGAAGGACCTCGTTCTCGAACTCCACTTCACCTTGATCTGAAGTTCTTGATAGCCTCTTGACTGCAACTTCAGTTCCATTTGCGAATGTACCCTGCCAAGTATATATGAATCTAATGAATCATCTCACTATCTAAATATCTTGATGCATAATGTTTCTACATAAACAAGTTGATGAGTAGTTGAGAAAGAAATGCCTTGTAAACTTCTCCGAATCCCCCTTGACCGATCTTGTTACTCGCCAAAAAGTTACTTTTTGCAGCTTCAATTTCCTTAATATCAATATGAAGATATTCTGCAGTTGTAATATCATCTGCAGCTGCACAAGAAAAGTGTAGGTGGTTTTATGCTAAGGTCGGTGGAAAATATCTAGTAAAACAAGCAGCAAGAGAGCAAGACCATCTGAGTGAAGATGGCATGTCAGGAAAAAAATCTCCAAGTGACTAAGAAAAACAACATGAAAACATGAGGAACTCACTTCTTGAGGCAAAACCTTGGTATTTTTTTCAACTCCTGCAAACAGCTGCTCCGAGAGCAAGTAGAGCTATGATTATGACCGTTGCAGTGACAATTCCTATGATAGCTCCTATACCAATCATTCTCCCATCTGTGGAAAGGCCAAATCACCGATTCTGAATGTTGAATACGTTTAAAATTCATTTAAGTAAATCATTTTACCTTGGTTGGTCAGTTGAGGTGGGGATTGCGGCTCAGGTGCTGGCGCGGATGCGGGCTCAGATGCGGGCTGAAGCGGAACATATCCAACCGGAAAATGCAATTAGGGCGATACACAAAGCTGCCTTTCTTCCCACGGCAGCCATCTTTATAGTCATCAACACTTTGTTGTAAACAGGTTTTACAGTTAGAGGAAGAGACGTCTGGTGTACATTGCACCAAGGCGTATACCATTTCAGAACTACTCAATCTTGCTACATCAACTACATAGAATCTACTGTTAGAGACTGATACATCATTTCCTGACGATGATGAAGCTTTATTCACCATACCAACTGATAATCGCTCAAACAATCCATCAAACGCTGTTAAGTTAGTGACATTTCGAGCGGTACAACCACCAGAAGGTGGATCCAACGCTCTAAAATAGGGCCGGTTAGATTATCTTGCCATACATTGAGTTTCACCTCCACCTGACCAATAAAATGCTGCTGTCTGATTGGGACAACTTTGTACTAACTGGTCAGACGCGTCCTTGATACAATCCGAACAAATCTCTTGTTTAGCTCCTGGGATGCAAATTCCCATTGCGTAGACTTGGTCAGGATCTGTCCCAATCGAAGCGTTGAAGAAGCCATCTCTCGCTGTGACTTCAGATGCAAGAGATGAGAGGATAAGTTGACGGTTATTGTCAAAAGTACCACCTGGTTTGAAAGTTCCTAAACTGTCCAAGCATTCCTGCGCAGAGACGACAACAGTTAAGCTTACATGGACAAGCCAGAAGACCAATGAGAGGAGATTCTTTCGAGCCATTTGTCAAAAGGATACAGATGAGTTGCTTTCGTGTCTGAACAACAAGCTGAGTGTAGACTAACTTACATGAATGCGCCGTTCTTAAAGCAATTTTTCTACATTTTTCTATTATTTGAAGATGGAGAATATTAAAAAGAATAGCAACTTGTTCGAAAGAAACAATGAACAAGTTTTAAAATTGGAGCTTTTAACGTGCTTTCCAACTAGTAAATGGAAAGACTTAGATGATCATCAGTGGTTAATTATTATTTTTCTCTACTTTGTTTGTCACTATGATTTATCAACTTCTCCAGGCCATAAACAACTCTCTGAAATTCTGAAGAACCATTATTAGCTTTAAAAGTGATTCTCTGGGGGACTTGAGGAAGCATTGTTCAACAAGGGATTGATTAAAAATAGATGATTACTATAATGAACTTTGTAAATTTCGCAAGATTTGGTTTTACCATTTTGTTTTTGATCCTACACATGTTTCTTCAAAAGCTCGCTTGAACCAGAAAGATACGCATTACCCATAGCAATCCACAAAATTGAAGCCTTAGCTAGAGCAAAAAAAAAAAAAAGACTTTCTTAAAGTGAAATGTAAGATTCCCAAATTACTCTATGTACAATAAAATCTAAACACAATTAATTAGGATTAAAACCCGCATGTCCGATCCGGTACTAAATACTAGGATTCATGCATTACTCTAGCCCTTTTTGTAGTTTAAGCCGGCTTTTTCAGACTTAATTTGAACAAGAGCATTTCCAAAAAAACTTATTTAAAAGTTTTCTAAACCTCAAATTTGAGAGGTTTGAAGTTGTTTCTCTTTAATCGCATAACATCAAATTTAACCCTAAAATTGTATTTTGCATTTCTATTATTCATAGTAAATTAAGATTATATTTTCTTATATATAGATAACTATAAAACCTAAATTAAAAAGATATTAGTCTCTGGTGTGGCATTGTTTGCAAAAGATAAAAAAAAAACCTACAATATGTTTGGAAATATCATTTTGATACCGTTGATCATATAGCTACGTATGGTTTTCATAATCGAATCAATAAGATTCATGTTAGTCTTTGGGGTAATTGATTGATCGACAGACGAAATCCCATTTACGATGATATTTTTTTTTGTAACAAAAGATGCATGAGATATTGAGATATATGTCATATTCACACAGAATGATATTACCCTGTCTCCAGATTGAATGGTTCGGGACTGTTCATATGTCTGTTTCCCACATGAGCTACGTGTGGAGTATGTGCAGCACGCTGGTTCCTATAAGTGGGAATAGTTAAGTGCAATAGTGTTCTTTGTACTTCTTTTTCAAGGAGGTACGCTTGTCACACATTTCGTAACCACTTGGCTTATGAACAAATGGGTATGAAAATGTTTTTGGAGATGCAGCGGAGGTGTGATGCGCCTGAAAATTTAAGGTGGGGAAATCACCATTTACTGCATGTAGGACTCTTTTGTTTTTCTTATGAGTTTCTCAGTGTCATCCTATATATGATTGGCTTATTAACCATGATAAATGAATAGAGTAATTGCAATAAAGGGTAATAGATGTTATCAAAATTAAGAGATACCTTTTGAGTGTCTCATAGAACTATTCACTATAAAAAGACTATATCACATTTATTCTTCAAAATTTTGCTATATCACAGTTATCACGATAATTTTTTAATTATTATCAATATTCTAAATAAATTACTGTTAATATACATATTATGCTGATATTATTGTTAATATTTTATATAAATTATGTATAAATATAAATATTATCGTTATATTATTGTTAACATGCTATATTTCTCGATTATTAGTGTTAATATTTTATATTTAACAAATATTATTGTTAATATGTTAATATTTTATTACAAAATTTTAGAATTATCACGTTATAATTATCTGATATATTTGTTAACATTTATAATTATCATATATATTTGTTAACATGTTAATATATTATATGATAACAAAGTTAACACAAATTTATAGCGATAACTTTCATATTTAACACAAACTTTCATATTTATAGCGATAACATGTTAATATTTTATTACAAAATTTTGAAATTATCACGTTATAATTATCTGATATATTTGTTACCACTTATAATTATCATATATATTTATTAACATGTTAGTATATTATATGATAACAAAGTTAACACAAACTTATAGCGATAACTTTCATATATTTTATGTTAACTAAATAGTTATCCAATAATAAAAAATATCTTCTCTTAGATGAATAGTATCAGCGATGATGAACAGTATGTACAGTAATGCTATGTGCAAAAAAAAGATTAATGACAATTTATGTAAATAAGTAAAGTTAAAAGGATATTAATGGATAAAACAAAAAATTCTCTTTGCTACTTATCTAATTATTAATTTATGAATGCTATATATTTAATTTTTTGATTAACCATTGATATAGAATAAATTCACTCAAATGAATATTATTCCAACAATGATACATGTTATAAGAATATAGAGAAAAAAAGTTTGTTATTCTCAACAAAGTCATTACCAAAACTTTTATAATGAAAGTGCGTTACAATTCTTCTTCTAAATAATGGATTTCACCAGGTTTATATTATGAGTCACTAAGTCCAAATCCCTATAAATTATTTTTGTCTTCTACCTATTTGGACCAAAATGTTTTAAAGTTGAAAGTTTGGTCAAAAGGGAGTCTTCCCAATTACGATGCGGCCCATTATGCTTAGGAGCTACTACCAGAAATATTATTTAAGAGTCTCTGTAATTAATATTCCCTTAAATTTCAAATCTAAAAGTACAGTAACCATAAATTACACTACTATTATAGTATTATTTAATGAACTCTTTTTAGAAAAATAAATAAATTTTGAGGTGGAGGACACATAGAGTCGAAAGATTTTAGTTGGGGATAGGAATCCCACACGAACTTCCCGAGAAACAAGTAATGATACTTTATTATCGTTTGGTTCACGAACCGATCCAAACTTTTAATTTAATAAATTTCCTTAATCTCTCACCGATTATTAATACCAAATGACAAAATTACCCTTTCTATTTATTTCAGCGACAGTTTCTGACAAGGGGCAAGATTGTCTTACGTCACACACTTCATTGAAGAGAAAAAAACCTTTGTTTTGATCAAACAAGTGAAAAAAGAAGCAGACAACAAAAAAGCTAAAAGCAAAAGTACAGAGAGAGTGAGTGATAGAGATTTTTGCACACTAAACAGTGTAATGAAGAGGGAAAAAAGAAACAAAATGATGCCTTGAGGGAGAAAACAGATTGATTGCTTTTCTCTTTTTTTTTTTTTGTTTCTTTATCCTTCTATCTTTTTGTTTACATTACAAGAACATGATCGATTTATCCTATTACCATCACTGTTTTGTGATCTCTCCTTCTTCTCCATGTCGATGAGGGAAACTATGAAGAAAGCTTCGAGATTTACACACTCTTTTTCTCACTCGTCCAACTCAGGCATGCTTTGTTTTTTTCTCTGTCTCTATCTATCTCTTTAGATCTCTTTTCATTTTCTCTGTCTGTGAAAATAATTATAAGAAAAATTACCTCATTTTGCTTCTTTGCTTAGATGCTAGTTTTGTAGCTATCTGATTCTTTTGTTTGGTGTTCTTCTTTGACCGCTGTTTTGGTATCTTTCTGTTTTTGATTCTAGGTTCATTTTGATACTCTAATTGGATTTTTATTAGTTAATTCAATTTTCTCTCTTCGTGGATTTTGTTTTCTGTTTTTAATTGTTCTACCAAACTATATGAGATCTACAATGGGTACAGAAAGATCATGAATTCTGCATGTTTAGTGAGCCTAATTTATAGTACTATAAATGAGCCAGTCTGCATCAGATTAGTAGTCATTCTTGTTGAGTTATGTTATTTGATTAGGAGCTCTGAATTGGGAAATGAAATCCTTTTGAAGCTTATGACATTGCATTCTTTGGATCTATTAGCATCCCTAATCACACCGTTAAAGATTATAATCTGTTGGTAGTGATGCTCTTGGCAACGACTCTACTATCATATAAGTTGTTTAGTAAATATCAGAGATGGATTTTTAGCTTCCTTCATCCATGATTTGTATTGAAGTTTTGGGGCATTGGATTTGAAAAAAAATTGGCTTCTTTTATGTTTTGATGCCTGAAAGTTTCTCTATTACATTCTTTATTTAGGAGGACTAATTTTCTTGTTCTTGAATTCTAATGTTTTCACAGATATTATGATGTGGTGATTGGAACGGAAATGGAATTTGGTAAAGGAATTGATATGGAACAAAGCCCCAACAGTGTTCTTCCTCCTCCGCGTCCTTACACTGAATCAGAAAAGAGGAGTACAAGACTGAAGCCACCTCGTAGAGATGAGATATTGAGAGTTAAAGAAGGCTTCACCGAGATAAGCTTCAGGCGCTACCGTAGCACATCCTGTAAGAATTTTCCTTCAAAACCTCTTGCAATGTCGGATAAATCAGAGCAAAGGCGAGGTTCAGTGTATCAGAGCTCCAATGAATTGTTTAAAGAACTTAGAGATCCTGTACGTAAAGATTCAAAAGCAAAACTTGAGCTGTCTCGTAGTAGTGATGCTTCTTTCTCCTTTAGAGTTGTTGATTCATCAAGAAAGGGAAGTACAGAGAAGAGACCGGACAAGAAGCTTTCAGATGGACAGAAGTCATCAGCTGAACCTTACAACTCTAGCAACTTCATTGACATTTGTTTGAAATCAGGTATTAAAGATAGAGCTGTGGTGTTGGATTCAGATGATGATTTAGTGGGTCCCTCGAACGAATGTAATGACCATAAAATTAGATTGCCTAAGCCACATTCTGCAAAGGTAGATAAGGTTACAGTCTCTTCATCCGAAACCAGTTGCAATAAGGAAAGCTCAAGAGTGAGGAAAATGTTTGATCCATTTGTTAAGTCAAAGTCTCTGAGAAGTCCTCTTGGGTATATAGGAGAATCAGGTGATCAGTTCAGATTTGGATGTACAGAAAAACCGGGGAAGAACAATGAGCGTTGCAAATCTATGTTGAGTGACTACTCAAATATTCATATAAAACCGAATCTTTGTCCTCCTCCAGTTGTCAATAAGGATTATACTTTGGTGCTGAAATCTTCTCCGGTTCATCTACATTGCCGTCTCAAAGTGGAAAGCAAACATGGATTGCCTGTTTTTCAGTTTGTGTCAGATTCTCCTGAGGATGTTTATGCTGCAAAGACGTGGAAATCTGACAGTGGTTCGAGTTGGGTTTATACATTTTCGTCTGCTGGAAGCAGAAAGAGAAGCAGTGCTAGTGTGCGGGGTTTGATGAACGATGTTAACAAAGACTCTTTGCTGGTGGCTCAGATGCAAGTTTCCTGTAACATGTGCTCAGAGGTCAGAAAAAAGGGACAAGATCCAGAGACTTTGATGGTAAATGAGTTTGTTTTGTATGATATTGCACAAGCAAGACGGAGTGTTTCCACAAAGGAAGATCAATCACTACCACTCGATACGGTTACTAATGCCTCCAAGAATCCTGCTAAACCAGACTCAGATTCAAGAAATAGCACAATGTCCGGGGATGTTTCTGAATCAGTGAAGCAGAGATCTCAGCCGAAACGTACATCTCAAAGCTATGATCTCGAGGCTTCAAATGGAACAAACCCGTGGTCAGCTGCAGATTTGCATCCTGACCTTGAGATCGCGGCTATAATCATCCAAGACACGATTGAGAAGAGAGAAAGCTTGAAATACAGAAGAGGTGACAAAAGGTTGATGGAGAAAACGAATCTTCTTGGTCTTTCTCCAATAGAGGAGGAGAAGAAGGAGTGGTTTGGCAGCAGAAGCTCAGAAAAGTTGAAGGTTGTAATCCCAAGGGGAAACCATGGGCTACCAACTACTGAAAACCCCGGTCCTTCGCCTTTGATTCAGAGATGGAGGTCAGGAGGTGGTTGTGACTGTGGTGGTTGGGACATGGCTTGTCCACTAATGGTTTTGGGAAATCCTCGTATCTCATGTTCTCATGATCAGCCTCTTTTAGACAATCAGCATCCATTGCAACTATTTGTCCAGGTGAAAAGTTTGTTCTTTCCTTAATCAAACACAAGTTTGTTTTCTTGGAACTGCTTTCTTTGGACTTGCATGAGCAACTAACACATCTCGTCTTTAATATTACAGGGTGCTAAAGAGCATATACCAGCATTGTACATGTCATTTGTTGAGGAGGGGCAATACGATGTTCATTTCCACGCTCAGTTATCAACTTTGCAAGCATTCTCAATCTGTGTTGCCATATTACATAATACGGAAGTCTCAGATAGTTACAGAAACGGCGAGAATGTACAACAGTTCTCGCATTGCAACTCGTTGAAAATGCTGATTGATGATGATATTCAGTTCTTGGTTGAAGCAGTAACCGAGGAAGAGGAAAAGAAAGTCCCTATGTCTGTGAAAGACGTTGCGACTGCTCTTCAATCCTACATGCCAAACCCTCCTTTCTCGCCAATCTCCAGAGTGTAGTCTGCGATGCTGTCATTATTGCAGATACATCTGAGTTCTTGTTGTCCCCGGTTGGCGATAAGAAGAGAAGAGAAGAGAAGGTTGGTCTCCAACTCCCGGACGAAAGTGCAGCCATGAAAGCAGCAGACTCGCCGGACAAGCTAGAGCTAAGATGGGAGGGTCTCTGATCTCCAGACTGAGAAAGGCTTCACATTATTTGTTGCGTTATTTATTCATTCTTCTGAGTAGTATCTAGGCAAAAGAAAAAGCCACACTGTTCATATTGTAAGGTAGCAAATGGGAGGTGTCCAATTTGGTTAGAAGTCTTATAAGCGTAGAGTTGGTAGATCAGATCCTTCAAAAAAAGTTTTGTAACTTGTAGTGAATAATGGATCTTCCTGTTCTCTCTCCAGTTAAAAAGGGCTTAGCACAAATGAATTTCATCAAATTAATCAATAATTACATAGCCAAAAAAATTGTATGATTTTCCAATCCCTAAACTACATATATTACGTTGCAGTCTTTATATTGGTGGCTTAACTATCCTTGTCCTATAATGGGTTAGGGTTATCTCCATCTTTTGTTTTGTGCCAGAGAGCTGAAAGATCGGGTTGTGCCGCTTGTAGAGAGAGTACACTCTTGTAAAATTCATATGAAGCAAAGAATATGGCTCCTTGGGACATGTACATCACCAGTCTGGGGATCAAACCTCTGCAACATACAATGAAAGAAGACTAATAATGGTAAATTGATGAACAATGGATGATAGAAGCACAACGGCATGGGAGACAAGAATAGTGATAAGCGAGCAGACCTGTATAGACCTCTTACACCTTCTTGTTTGCCTATTGATTGAAGAGTTTGATACACACTAATATGTTGGTTACTAGATCCAGGAATCTGCAGCCATAGGATAAGTAAGATGTTGGCTACAACTGGCAATGTGCGCCCGAGAAAAAATGGATAGAGAAACAAACCTGAGTTTGGAATCTTGTTTTGACTACATCAAATGGGGTTGTGAAGAAAGCAGCAGCGGATCCCGCTAGTCCTCCACATATGAGCTGTCAGGAGCAAAGATCATCCAAGTCATCTCAGGTTCACAGATTGCTTAGAGAAACTTAAAGTTCAGGATGATGGAATGAAGCGGAGAAGATACATACCGTTTGTATTGTGGTGGGTTGAGCCGTTTGACCACAAGGACCGAGGGATGGTAATACCATTCGCTTCATGTTTTCGTAAACATAGAACTGTTTTTCCAATAAATTTGGCATCAGAAATGGTATTCAAGCAGAGAGGAATAATAGCGGCAGAGTGGAAATAAGATCAAAGGTTAATACTAGTTACAGCATAGGAAGACATTATAGTGTGTGCAAAAAGAACCTTAATGATTGAGTGTGGGATATTTCTACACAGGACTGCACTCCATCCAGCATATAAAGAAAGTAGACCACCCTTCTGAATAATTCCGAACAATGCGGTCCTATGAAAATAATGTAGCACAAGGAATGAAAAGACATTTAAAATTTAAATCAGTTTTTTTTTAAACTTGGAAACCTTATAGGAGATAAGAGAACAAGAAAGTATATAATTGTATCAGCGAAAGCTTGATTAAGCTTGCAAATGTTTACCAGCAATTACGATAATGTGAACTGACTTGCATCTGCTGTTTTATACGCTCACTTGGTGTGAAAATAAATGAAGTTGCTACGCTTGCAGAACCCCCAGCTATGCAGTGGGTAAGGGAGCAATATTCCTGAAATTTCAAGGATTTAGTAATATGAGCTTGCTTATTCTACTCAACAGGACATCTGAAGAATGGAGAAACATGCCAGGGCAGAAATAAGAATAAGACCTTAGGAAAAAGAGGAAGCAGAGCTCCTTTAACTGATTCATAAGTGAGCGTATATAGGGCTGAAATTGGAGCTGATGAGGCAATGTTGCTAGCAATCCCCCGGTAAAGTCCAGAAAAACCTGAATAAATATAGGTATATAACTGTGTTAAGCATCAAGGCGCAATGACAAACAAATACAGAAAGCCCCCTTTAATGATCATCTCAAGTGAACGGTTCTACCTCTTTCGGATACAATTGATCTCCCGGTATGGCATAGAGACTTCTCCTCCAAGTGGCATGACTGAATCATTGTCTTGACTGTATCAAGTGGATGAAGACAAAGACTGACGCTTACGCCAGCCAACGCACCAGCAAAAGCATGCCGCTGTTTAGCAAAGGCGTAAGTAGGCGTTTCTGTAGAGGACGAACAAAATTCAGTTTCTTGGTCTTTTCTATCTCTATTAAGCAACTGTTTATTTTCAACCATAGATAAGCTGTTTTCGTCTGAGTTATTCCCTGAGGAAGAAGAAATCTCAGTATCAGAATCCGTGCCACATTTCGAATTTATTATGTTCACTCCTTTCTTATTGGCACACCTATCTTTGTAAAGCAAAAACAGGTAGTTCGCATCTGTAGATCTGGATAAACAGGTGTCTCCCGGTGATTCTGTGGTGCTTCCTAATAGTGGACTCCTTGATTCAATTGACGCTGAGTGGACCTCTGAATCAGCTGTGACGAAGACATTATCACTTCTATTGGCATTTCCTGAAACAGATACTGATATACTGCTGACAGGATTGGGGATAAGGTCTTCAAAATTCTCTCTCTTCTCAATCACAGCCCCTCCTTTATGACATCTATACAATTTTTCTGTCTCCCATCTAGCCAAGAACTGAAAACCATTCTCTTTGCAAGAACCACTCATAGATTTGACTCCACTAGCCTGATTAAAACAACTAAAGAAAGACTGGTTATAGTTCCGCTTATATGGCTCGAAAATGCACATCTTCTCGGCCACGCTCACTAGTTCGACCCTGGTCTGTGGTGTTGGTGGCAATTGAGACTTAACCTTCTGCTTCGCAGACCACCGTGTACTATCAACCGAGACTTTGTACTTATTGACTTCCTCTCTATTTGAATCATCCAAATTTCCTTCCTTCAGTGAACTGATCAAATTACCAGAAGCAAAATCCGAACGATCCCACATCAAGTCAACTACTGATATCAACGCATCCCTGCTCAAGATTTGACTCAACATGGTCTCTCCTCGTCTTTTGTTGTGCCTCTGGTAACCATATGCATACTCTACATGTTCGTGATCACTGATCTTTGACAGCTTCCTCTTAGCCTCAGCGAAATTGCGACTATGCTTAATCGAAGATTGACCCTTTTTAACAGGGCCTTTCGCAGAGGCCATTTTGCTTATCTCACAAGACTGTAGAATCAATCAAAAGAGAAAACTTCATAACTTCCCATCACATCAGAACCCAGTAAGCAAATAAGTAACCAAGTTCTGATTTTTTTGGATCGGCCAAATACACTTGTATTTACATTTGGAAGAAAACCCAGTAATCCGATGACCTAGCTCCGATAAAAGATCTGTTCCAAACATGCCCCCATGTGAGGGAAATTAGAAAATTTCTTAAACATCACAATTTTCTTAAAGCATATACCAAACACTAGAACAAAAAGCTGAAGAATTTCAACAAATATACTTTGCTTGAAGCTATCTCCTCCATATAGCAACAGGAGCAATATGTAAACTTTGCTTGAAGCTATCTCTAGAAATAAAAAAATTCAAACGAAGAATGAAATTACAAAGTGACTGCCACCGCAATTAAAAATAAATAAATTGTCGCTCGGATTGATTGATACCTTGAGAGACTGCGACGCTCTTCACCGGAAGAAGCTCGAGATTCCAAATTCCTCATTCTCTCGCGACCGAAAAAAAAAAATTGTTTGTGTTTTTAAAAAAAAAAGAAAAAAAAGAGAGGGAGGGGGTTTATACGCTGCTTGTTCTCATCTAGGGGTTTTTACTTTTTTTACTCTTTACCTGAATTCCTGTTTTTACAATTTTTTTCTTTACTTTTTACATAACCGGGATAAAATGACATTGTTGTTACATTTTGCTGAACCGAACCGAACCGAACCATCAATGTTAGACAGCAGCAAGATCATTTTTAAACGCTTAGCGTTGGAGAAGCAAAACTTGAAAGGATAAAGAAACTTGAAAAGATCATGTTTGAACATATGTTGAACTAATTACTCTCTGTAGACATTTCTTTCTTCTTAGATGAGTTTTGTATTTAAAGAAATATTTGTGAGTGAAAACAGAAAGAACTTGAATCATTACTTTCTCTCTTTCATTTTTCTTCTCAAAAACATACATCATTCCTTTTGCTCAAGCATCGATATAAAAACAAGGAACAGAGTCATCATACTCTGACCTCAACAACTATTGCTGTTCATTAGCCACTACTCTAGACTCTAATACAAGACATCTCTCTCTCATTCTTATCGCCACTTGCTTTTCACCAACTCCCACTAACCAAGTTTCTTCTAGTTTGGTTTGATAAGCAAAATGACATCACACAACACTTCCACTTGTCATTTTATGAATCAAACCGAGCTTATTGCGAAGCTTGTCGAAGCTTTGTCCTCCCAATGCCTTAGTGAACACATCAGCTACTTGATCTTCCCCTTTGCAATACATCAGTTGAATCTCACCATTCTTCTCGTAATCTCTAACAACATGATACTTTATTTGTATGTGTTTGGTTCTTCTATGCTGAACCGGATTTCTTCCAATGGCAATAGCCGACTGACTGTCACTATAGATTGGTACTCCCACTTGAGTAGTGATCCCTAAGTCCATGAGAAGTCTTTTTAACCAGGTCGCTTGATTTGCTGCTCCGCACAAAGCCATGTATTCAGCCTCTGCTGTAGATTGAGCTACTGTGTCTTGTTTGCTGGTTTGCCATGTGAACACTGCTGAACCGATGCTATAACAATATCCAGTGGTTGATTTCAAGTCTTCTCTGCATCCTCCCCAATCACTATCTGAATATCCAATGAGTTTTGGTTCTCTCACCGCAGTAAACATCAATTCCATATCAGTTGTACCTCTGATGTATCTAAGAACTCTTTTAGCGTCTTTAAGATGAGAAGATTTGGGTTCTTTTAAATACCTGGACAAATATGAAGCTGAAAACATTAAGTCTGGTCTGGTAGCTGTCAGATACAATAGTCCTCCAACCAGACATCTGTAGACACCACTATCTACAATTTCAGCTTCTCCTTTCTCTGCATTTTTCTTTTGAGGCAACAAAGGAGTGGACATGATCTTGCAATCCTCCATATTGAACTTCTTCAGTAGCTTCTTTGCATAGCACTCTTGAGACAGAAATATTCCCTCTTGATTCTGTATAATCTCCATACCAAGAAAGTAGCTCAACAACCCTAAGTCAGACATCTCAAACTCTTCTTTCATTGCGACTTTAAATTCTTCCATCAAGCTTTCATCATCTCCAATGACGATAAGGTCATCAACATAGATGCACATGACTAGAAGCTTTCCTTGAGTTTCTTTTGTATACAATGCATGATCATTTTCACTCCTTTTGAAGTTTTCCTTTTGAAAGAATTCGTCGATTCTGCTATACCAAGCCCTTGGAGCCTGTTTTAATCCATAAAGCGCCTTGTGTAGTAACAGAACATGATCTTCCTTTCCTCTTTGTTCAAAACCGGGAGGTTGCTCAGCATAGATTTCTTCCTCTAGTCTTCCATTTAGGAAGGCAGACTTGACATCAAGTTGAAACAGTTTCCATCTTCTTTGAGCTGCAACGGCAAGGAGTAATCTTATGGTTTCATGCCTTGAGACAGGAGCAAATGTTTCCAAGTAATCGACTCCATATTGTTGAGTGAATCCTCTTGCGACAAGTCTGGCCTTGTGTCTGACAACCTTTCCATTTGCATCAGTTTTCAGCCTGTATATCCATTTTACACCAACCACATTTTTGTCAGTAGGTCTTTGAACAAGTTCCCAAGTCTCGTTCTTCTCAATCATATGTATCTCTTCCTTCATGGCCTCATTCCATTCTGTGTGTTTGGAGGCCTCTTCGAATAATGACGGTTCTTCAATACCACTATAGCAACCTTCCATTACAGCAGAATACTCTATATCCGCATATGGGGCTGTGAGCATAACATCAGCCAAAGATCTAGTTCTTTTGTTCACTCTACTTAAGCATTCATCAGGACTTATCTGCTCAACGTTTGAGGGTGATCCTCCTTTATCTGCATTTTCATTTATTATCTCTGTATCACTTGCCTCTGAATCTCCTTCTTCAGTGTTTGTTTTAATAGTTACTTTGTAGTCTTTAACTGCTTCCTTCTTGTTCCAATCCCACTTGCTGTCTTCATTAAAGATAACATCTCTAGAGATTTCTACTCTGTTTTCTTCTAACATGTAGACTCTATATCCTTTTGTCTGAGAATTGTATCCCACAAACACAGCTCTCTTTGATTTGTCATCCCACTTTTTCCTCTTCTCATCTGGAATATGAACATAGCACAAACAACCAAAAACCCTCATGTGACTCAGAGACGGTTTTGTACCATTCCAGGCTTCAAGTGGTGTATTGTTCTTGAGTGCTCGAGTTGAAGTCCTGTTTTGAACATACGCTGCATTGTAGACAGCTTCTGCCCAAAACGTTAATGGTAGATCTTTAGCTTTGATCATGGCTCGAGCCATTTCCTCCAAACTTCTATTCCTTCTTTCCGAGACTCCATTTTGCTGTGGAGAGTAAGCCGCAGTGAGCTGTCTCTCAATACCGTTTTCTTCTAAAATTTTTGTAAATTCACAAGATAGATACTCTGTACCTCGATCTGTTCTTAGCTTCTTGATTCTGCAGTTAGATTGATTCTCAACTAGACTCTTGAATCTTTTGAAAGTTTTGAAGACATCAGACTTAGCCTTTAAAAAATAGACCCATATCAGTCTGGTGGCATCATCTATGAATGTGAGGAAGTACCTGCTGCCACTGAAGGAAGTGTTCTGCATTGGACCGCAAAGATCGCTGTGTATCAGTTCCAATTTCTCAGTTGCTCTTGACTCTAACTCTTTTGGAAATGAGTCTCGTGTGTGTTTACCGATGATGCAGCTCTCACAGCTTCCTTGAGTGACTTTGAACTTAGGCAGACCTGTAACCATTTCTTTTGACTGAAGATTGTTCAGGTTTGTATAGCCAATATGTCCAAGACGCTTGTGCCACAGCTCTGCCGTATCCTCCTTTGCTACCATGGCTGTTTCTTCATTTGAGCTCCATTTGATATGAAAGCTTTTGTTGACCATAGGAATTACTCCTATTCTCCTTCCAGCTCTGTCATGTATAATGCAGTTTCTATCTTCAAAAATGACCTTGTACCCATTAGTGATCATTTGCGGAACACTCAAGAGGTTCTTCCCAAGTTTGGAAACTAGAAACACATCTCTTATGATTCTTTTCCCTTTCTTGGTCATGACCTCAATGTCTCATTTTCCTTCAGATACTAGAACAGCTCCATTTCCGACTTTGATTGGAACTCTTATGTTTGTGTTGAGATTGACAAAAATCTTCTTATTTGGAGTCATGTGATTTGTGCACCCGCTGTCTATGAGCCAAATATCTTCTTTTCCAGCTTCGTCACCTTCTTGTCTTGCTGTAAAGACATGGTTTTCTTCCTCTTTCTTGTTCTTGTTAATCTCTTGTACTGTTGCCTTGGTTTCTTTCTCCTTGGCCTTCTCCATCGATGAACCTTTCTGATTCACCATCTTCATTCTGTTTTCAACTTTCTCATTCTTGTTCTTGTTGCTTTCTTGTTCGTTTCCCTTGGTTTTCTAAGCCTTGGCTTTCTTGTTCAGCGAGTCTTCTTGACTCACCATCTTCATTTTTTTCAAGAGGTCTCCATGAATCATCATGAGCTCTGATATCATGTTGAACTAATTATTCTCTGTAGACATTTCTTTCTTCTTAGATGAGTTTTGTGTTTAAAGAAATATTTGTGAGTGAAAACAGAAAGAACTTGAATCATAACTTTCTCTCATTTCATTTTTCTTCTCAAAAACATACATCATTCCTTTTGCTCAAGCATCGATATAAAAACAAGGAACAGAGTCATCATACTCTAACCTCAACAACTATTGTTGTTCATTAGCCACTACTCTAGACTCTAATACAAGACATCTCTCTCTCATTCTTATCGCCACTTGCTTTTCACCAACTCCCACTAACCAAGTTTCTTCTAGTTTGGTTTGATAAGCAAAATGACATCACACAACAACATAACTTGTCATATTTTTTGTGTTGAATTGGAGAAGGAACGGTTTGAAGAGAATAGATTTATCCAGCTTCCTTGCTGATCACAATCTTGTGCTGTGCCGTTTTAGTCTTTTAGAAGAAGACAACACTTGTTTTTAGCAATAAAGCTATGTGTTTCTTGTTTGATGCTCGTCATGGTTTCATGTTATGGCTACACTCACATTTTACCAAAAAAAAAAAAAGGTTATGGCTACACACAGCTTAATTCTCAGTTTAGAGAATGAAGTGATTTCGGCCCTTTGTTTTATCTTATGTTTCATGTGATTTCTGAACCTTAACATAGACATCTTTCTGCATTTAGTGCCGATATATATTATGTATCGGCTTGCAGTCTTGCAGATTAAACCAAGAGATGAAAAAGCATCGAAATTCTAGTGGCTCGCTTCAATCCTTTTGCTAACTTGCACTTGTTCCATTATTACATCTTAACTTGACTTGCTCTTGTTTGGCTTCCTAATGGGCCATACAGTATTTCTACACTTGTCCATTAGCCAATGTTTGAACTCAAGACACTCAAAATTTTCAGAACAGAACACATCCAAACGTCGGCTCGCAATGTTTGAATTCTGGTTTCAATGCAGGAAATGTAGTTCTTTACACTG